TAGATAGATAGATAGATAGATAGATAGATAGATAGATAGATAGATAGGTAGATAGGTAGATAGGTAGATCTTTAAAAAAATAAAAGATGAAAATAAAACAAAATACTACATATCCATCAGAAAAATTGAAAAGCACAGAAAACAGATCAAAGGTCTTTTGGTTTAGTTTAGTTTAACTTTTGTCTTTGGACAGGCTCTCACTATGTCGTCCTTGCTGTCCTTGAGTGCACTGACGTCCTGCTTCTGCCTCCTGGGCGCCAGATTAAAGATGCGTGCCGTCATACCTGGCAAAGGACCTTTCCTTCTGTTCAAGAAAAGTCTAGGCACTGTGGGGTGTGCCACTCCTAAAAGGGAGAAAAAAGCAGTGTACTTGGTAACCTTTAGGTTAGTCAGCCTCAGCCACCTGTCAGTACATAGCTGTTTCCATGCTCCCCTGCTTCCGGTGTAGGGTTGACACACACACAGGCACACGTGTGCAAAAACTAGCTGTGAAGTGAGTCTGAGACATGCTGTTTCATCTATGAATAATCTAGCCAAAGACAGAGTTGGTTGGTTTGGTTTTGGTTTTTCAAGTCAGGGTTTCTCTGTATAGCCTTGGCTGTCCTGGAACTCGCTCTGTAAACCAGGCTGGCCTCAAACTCAAGAGATTCGCTTGCCTCTGCCTCCCAAGTGCTAGGATTGACCACTGCCCTGATCAAGATGGAGAGCTTTTAACTATAATTTTTAATGTTCATTGGTCTTTTACCTGAATGTATGTCTGTGAGAGGGTGTTAAGAGACCCTGGAACTGCAGTCGCAGACCGCCGTGTCGGTGCTGGGAATTGAACCTGGGTCTTCTGGAAGAGCAGCCCATGCTCTAAGTGCTGAGCCATCTCTCTAGCCCCAAGGCAGAGGTTTTAAATCTTTAAATAATTTCTGGATATCTAATAACTAATCACATTTTCCCAGTTTTTCTGCATGAGGATCTAAGCGCCATTTCTCACATTGGATATGGCAGATTTGCCTTGTGACTGCCTTCATGGTTTTTTCCCCCACCTCTCATAGTTCCTTCCAAAACAAAGGATTACCTGTGCATGGGTGCACACATCATGGCGAGCGTATGAACAGCCTCCAGGAGTCAGTTCTCTCCACATTGTTTTGAGGCAAGGTCTCCTGTTTATGCCACCCTGTGTAGTCCAGGCTAGCCAGCCAGTGTCTCGTCTATGCAGTCTGTGCCTCCATCTCACAGGACTGGGCTGGGACTGGGCTTCCCGATGCTTGCCGCTCCATCTAGCTTTCCCCTTATTTCAAGAAGAAACCAGGTAGTTTGTTGAGAAGAGCTTGTGTCACATCCTGGGTTTGGCCGTTCTTTCCTCGTGTCAATGAACGTGTGACCTGCACACATTCACCTGGCTGTGGACATGGGAAATAAGACACAACAGACGTGTACAGGAAAGCTGGGGTCAAGTGGCTTATGCTCGGCACATGTATGTGTGCGCTGAACGAGGAGGCAGGTTTGTTGTCTACAGCAGGGGAGGGGTTAACGCACCTCAACAGGGCTCTCTGGAGGGCAGCAGCCTCAGGCTGCAGTCACCCGCACACTGTCCACTCCCCTCCCCATGAGGTCTGAGGCACCGGGGTTCTCAGTGTGGCTGTTAACCCATACCCCCATACTGTGGCCCACCTACATGGTTTGTATTGCTCTGGAAATGGTGAGGGGGGACGGAGAGGTGGCCCCACCATAAGGGCCCGAGTTCAGATCAGGCAGTTCTCAACCACCCCAACTCCAGCCTGGGGGATCTGGCACCCCCTTCCAGCCTCTGTGGGCACGTGCACACACGTGTCCACACACACACACATATACACACATAAATCTTAAAAGATTAGAGATCGGTAATGGAAGAGTGAAGGGTTTTAGCCCTGTGTACTTCCTGTGGCCACAACCAGACCGTCCCCTTTCACTCCATAGCGGTAGCAGCAGCTGCTGACGCTTAGATGTAACTCGAGCTTGGCAATGGGAAGTGGGTCTCTTCCTTCTGCACTGGTTAAAGTGACCCAGCGAGCTCTCCCCAGGAGCTGCATGTGCTGATGGATCATTCACACAGGAAAACAGGCGTGCAGAGATACTGTAGGATTTGGTTTTTGTTTGGTTGGTTAGTTGGTTGATTTTGGTTTTTTGAGACAGGGTTTCTCTGTGTAGCTCTGGCTGTCCTGGACTTTATAGACTAGGCTGGCCTTGAACCCAGAGATCTGCCTGCCTCTGTCTCCCTGAGTGCTGGGATTACAGGTGTGCACCACTGTACCTAGCTTTGTTTTTTGTTTTTTTTTTGTGTGTGTGTGTGTGTGTGTGTGTGTTTTTGTTTATTTGTTGGTTGGTTGGTTGGTTGGTTGGTTTGGTTTATTTGCTTTGATTTTGAGATGGGGTCTTACATTGTAGGCCAGCCTGGCCTGTATCTGTTGTGTAGCCCAGGCTAGCCTCCGGCTCTCAGTTATCTTCCCATCTCCGTCATGAGTGCTGGTCTTGCAGGTGTGCCCCTGACTGGAACCTGCTCGTTTGGAAACTGCGCTGAGAGCTTGATTTGGAGGGGCGCTTTTGTTACTTACCTTTGTTTTCTTTCTAGTTTAGCATGCACTACATCAGCATAGTTCTAAAGACAATTATGTAAAACCCACTATTTTCTGTTCTCATTTTCTCAAAAACAAAACAAAACTCCTTCCACACTGGAGGACCAAGAAGGCTGAGTCTGATGAAGTAAGACTTTGCTGATACACTCCTCCTAGATAAAAGGGTAGAGAGAGCAGCCCTTGCTGGAGAAGACCACAGGGCCGACTGTGCTGCCCAACATTTCCAGCACGGAAAAAAAAAGTCCTTTCCCACCAAAGTAGTCATTTCTTAGGTGATTCACACCCTTATATTTTATTTACATATTTACTTTTTTGTGGTTTCTAGATAGGTTCTTAACTATGTAGCCCAGTCTAGCCCTGATTCTCAGTCCTCCCTCCGCCGCTTAAGTGCTAGATGGGGACACAGGCTGGCCTTGGATTCAGTGTAGCCCTGGTAGGTCAGTCAGCCTCGCCTTCCTGCGTTTCTGGGATGACAGGCCTGCGCCACCACACTGGGCCAGGCTGTCCTTGCAGGCGCACATTGCAGGGGTTGGCCTCTCGCCTCTGCCTGCTCCTATATTGCCAGGGCACCTGGGTAGACTGTACCATTTGGGCCTGCAGGGCCACAGGGATCGTGTGACCCTGTACATTCTCGTTTTTAATTTATTTTTATTTTTAATTATTTATACAGTATTCTGCCTGCATGCCAGAAGAGAGCACCAGATCTCATTACAGATGGTGTGAGCCACCATGTGGCTGCTGGGAATTGAACTCAGGACCTTTGGCAGTCTGGAGCCAGCCCCCATGTACAGTCTCTTTTGTCTCCTGTGGCTTTGCCTTTGCCCGGGAGTTCCCATGCCACTTCTTCAGAGGACCCGGAATGGTGACCTCTGTCGTCCTCACCACCCCCCAGCCGTCTAGTTCTCTGTCCGAAGCATCCTGCAGCATCAGAGCCTGGACTGACTTTCTCTTGTTTGAAATTCCAGCAAAGCCCTCCATGAATACTCCAAGGACTTCATTGTGTCACTCGTCCTCGGGATGGATGTGATTCCCAGGTTGGTGTGCTCCGAGGTTGGCTCACGAGTCAGGGTTGTTGGCAACACTGAGTACTGAGCTCAGTCTGCTCTTTACCAAACAGGCTAAGTGTGACCAACATGGAGGATCTGAAGAGAAGGCTCCTGCGAGTGATCGCAAACTCCAATAAACCCAAGGTAACCACTCTGCCAGGATTAGCCATGCAGGAGGAGCCATGAGGAGGCTGGCAGGCGGAGCGGCCACAGCCTCGCCGCCCACCACCTTTTGCATGCTGTCTTCACTGTCTGCCCTGCCCCAGACTTCTGCCCAGGATTCTGTGTGCGATACAAAGAGCCAGTTAGGACACACTGCCCAAGCTGGGCCCCTCTTCCCTCTGCCTTCGTTTACCATTGCCCCCGGGCTTAGAGAAAGGCTGACACACACAGATTCTAGATGGCTCTAGGGGGCCAGCGGGATGGCTCTTGGGGAAAGGGTTTGTCCACCAAACTGACCTGCATTGAGTCCTCATGGTGGGGGGAGGACTTCCCTCCGGGCTTATCTCCACACATCAGTTAACTGAGTAAATGTAATAGGAACGTTTTAATGGCAGAGGCTTGGGAGTGTAGCTCAGTGCTGCACTTCCCCAGCACTGAAGAGGCTCAAGGCTCAAGCCCACACACAGGAGAAGAGAAAGCATATTAACCAGTACAAGCTGAGAGTCATGAGGCCGTGCGGTGGGATGGGCCTATAATGGCAGTACCTGGGAGCCTGAGGGAGGACTCCCAAAGCTGTGAGGCCAGGGGAGGAAAAGGAAGCCAAGGAGGGGAGGGGCTAGAGCCCTGTAGAAGAGTCGCCTAGCGTGCATGAGGCCCTAGTTCTGTGGCCACTGGGTAGTTTGAGAAATGGAGGGAGGGCCACCGAGACGGCCAGTGGGTAGCCACATGCTTGTAGGCCCTCAAACCCAGCAGGTAAGGGGACCACTAGCTCCCACAGTCTCTTGACCCCCCAACAACACAAGCACATACCACACCACCATAGAAACAAAGTAACCACGAGTAAAAACAGTATTCTGTATCAATGGGAGTTTTGACAATATTAAAAGAGAAAAATTGTGCAGAAGTATGGTTTCACCTGTATAATGGGACTATAGACGCTGTTACTTTCTTGCCTTCTCATTTATCCAGAAAATTTTCTGTTTCATGTGCATTGGTATTTTGTCTGCATGTTTGTCTGTGTGAGGGTGCCGGATCCTCTGGAATTGGAATTACAGACAGCTATGAGCTGTCATGTTGGTGCTGGGAATTAAACCTGGGTCCTCTGGAAGAGCAGCCAGTGCTCTTAACTGCTGAGCCATCTCTCCAACCCCGCCCTTTTAATTTTTAATTTTCTTGCCAATTAGAAAATTTAATATTTGCTTCTTTCCAGACATCTAAGTTGTGTCCCCCCCCCCCCCTCGGGGTTTCTGAGACAGTTTCTCTGTGTAGCCCTGGCTGTCCTGGAACTCACTCTGTAGACCAGGCTGACCTTAAACTCAAAGAGATCCACCTGCCTCTGCCTCCCTGAGTGCTGGGACTAAAGGCGTACCATGAACTAAAGGCATACCATGATGGGCTGACCCCCCCCCCCCCCCCGCCATAGGGTCTCTTTAGCCTGGGCTGGCCTGGAACTGTCTGTGTAGCTGTTGACAATAAGCTTCTAATCTTTCTGCCTCTACCTCCCAAGCTACTGCATTACAGACGTGTGCCACCATACCTGGTTCTACATGATGCTAGGGATGGAACCCAAGACTTTGTCTGTTTGTTTGTTTGAAGAAAGCAGACATCTTCCTCCTGGGGTTTAGCTAGTTCAGTGGTAGAGTGTTGTCTTAGCATGTATAGAGGGCTTAGCTCTGAGATTAATCTCTAGTACCATATATACATATGCTTATATGTATATAACTTCAAAATACTTGATTTGGTTTTTGGCTGTTGCTACAAGTATGGTGGCTTCATGGTGCCACAAGCCCTGTGCATGAGCCATGGCTATGGCAAGACCTGATGGCCACCACCAGGCGCAGGGCCAACCTAGTCCTTGGGTCTTACCTTTCAGTACAAGATCTTGCTGCACGGCTGTTGGTACGGACTGTTTGGAGGAAGCCCTGATAACTTTCCAACAGAACTGGAAGAGGGCACCCAGGGAGCCCTGACTCAGCCTCTTCTTGGGGAGCAGAGTCTGCTGACGCGATGCTCCCCGGGCTACAGCTCCAGCGACTCCCCACTGGACTCTCCCACCAAGTACCCACCTCTGTACCCACCTGGCAGGATCATCCACCTGGAAGAGGAGGGTGGTTCAGGGAGGTGAGTGGTGGCAGGTGGGTGTGGCAGCCACCGAGGGTGACCAGGAGCCTGGCCCAAGCGCTGCTTCACTAGTGGATGTTCTCTTTTGTTCAAGGCTTGGCTGCTGCTCCGCTGCACAGTACCGGGCGAGGTGGGCACATGAAGCAGATTTCAGCAAGATCCTGATAGGCCCAAAGATGCTGACTGACCACATGCCTGACATTCTAACTCGGGCTCTGGACAGAGTGGTTGCCGACACAACAGCCTGTGCCTCCTGCCCAGGGCCAGGCGGCGTTACTGTGGATTAGTTCATCAGCTCTCCTCGACACTGCCCAGCCCGGTGGACTTGCACCCTTTTCTGAGACTGAATATGAGTGGCTTCTGTGTGGCTGGAACGGTGGTATCCATTATCAGTAATCTGATGGGTCCCAGGATGGACATCAGTATGCCCACGCGATTTCTAGAACCTTCTTGTTGTTGCTTAAGCAACAGGATCCGGAGTCAGAGGTGTTGGGACTAAGCTTGCGGACCAACAAGCCTCCAGTGGCCACCAGAGAACTCCTGAAACCCTCGGTGGGTCTGCGGCACCCCCACTCCTTCTAGGATCCCATCCTACTGTTTACACGAGTCTTAACTTAAGACGACAGATGTGCACTTTATGTTCTTTACCTGCGTTCTTCATGGGGCACTAAGGGCGGCCGGAGCTTCCTCAGCCCAGCACTGTAGCTCCTCCATACATGAACTGATAGCCTAACTTTCATGTGCACTCAGCTCTCACAGTATTCTCTCGCTCTGGAGCCAGCTGGTGGGCTCAGAGGGAGTTTTCAAAAATAAAGTAGTTGACATACCCTCAGTGACTGTATTACATACCATCAGACTGTATTACAGGGAGACCGGAACTGGCTAAGTAGCCCACGCTAGCCTCCAATGTGTTTTCCTTCGTCAGCCTCTTGATGCTGGGATTATAAGCATGTACGGCTGTACCCGGTTAGTAATAAGTCGCCTTTCTACTGTAAACCAAGTTGTCCTGTTACTCTGGCTAGAAAGAGTCCACCAAGCACAGCATACAATTTAAAAAAATGCAGAAAGCAACAAGGGAATGCCAAGTGTGGTGGGGACTTGAGCCTGTTATTCTCAGCACTCAGATAGGGGCAGGCCACACAGCTGCTTTCAAAGATGCAGGCCATCTTGTGCTACTTGAGACTGTCCAAATCAAACCCCCAAAGGGGCCAGTAAGACTGAAGGGAAACCTGACAAGAGGTATTCAGTACACCTGCCAGGTATGCTGCTAAACACCTTTAATCCCAGCATTCCGGCACAGAGGCAGGCCATTCTCTGAGGTCACGGCCAGGCCAGTCCACACATAGTGAGTTCCAGGCTAGCCAGGTCAACCACAAAAAGAACTTTGGTCAGAAATCTGCAGGGCTATCCCAGGAACCTGGAATTTTCAAAACGGAAGCCCTTATGAGACGCAACTCGTCAGGGTAAGTGCACCACAGACCCGGAGTTATGTAGGATATAAAGATGTGATGGCCAATGACCCTGAAACCTAGCAAAATGAAGGCTGGTGATATCTTCAAGGTTAGAGACAGCTTGGCCAGTAAGTGTGCCATGCAGGTGTGAGGACCTAATGTTCAAACTGCTGCAGAGGTGCTGACAGGAGGATCTGGGGCATTCTGGCCAGTCTAGCCAACCAGTGAACTTCAGGTTCAGTGAGAGATCCCAAGACAGGAAGTTTGGCAGTGTCCTCAGGGAACCAGAAGTGCGGCAGAGGCCGAGTTCTGTCACCACCTGGTACAGCTTGAAGCTGGAAACTCAGTTTGGGAAGAGGAGCCAGAGCTGTGGCTGAAAACTGGAGGTGAACATGAGAATTCAGACGGGAAAACAGTGGTGGCGCTCGCTTAGTCACAGCACTCGGGAGGCAGAGGCGACATGGACACACAAAAGGCTGGGGACCTGGAGAGCTGGCTCAGCAGCGAAAAACACTTGTTCTTGCAGAGGACCTAGGTTTGGTCCCCAGGATGCACATGGCAGCTCACAGCCATCTGTATATTCAGGCCCAGGGGATCCAAAGTCGTCTTCTGATGTCTGCGGGTACTGCGTACTAGTGGTACACACAGTTGAGCAGAGCACTCATAGGTCAAACAAAACAACCCAAAGTCCTGCCCCTGGAATGGGTCAGGCAGGGCTGGTACTTGTGTAGTCCTTACTTGCTGTGTTTTTAATTACTCATTGAACTCTGAGTAAAAGAAAAAAAGAATTGGGAGCTGGGCATGGTGGCACACACCTTTAAGCCCAGTGCTAGGGAAGTAGGGGCAGCAGGCTCTCTATGAATTACGAGAGCCAAAAAGACACAGTAAGGCCCTGTCTCAAAAGGAAAAGACATGCAGGTAGGCAGGTTGCTTTGGGGCCAGTGAAGGGGCTTAGTAGGTACGGGTACCTGCTGCCAAGCCTGACAGCCTGAGTTCAATCCCTGGGAGGAAGAGCACTGACTCAAGGCTGTCCTCTGACCTCATGTGCTGTGCCATGTGCGCATCCAGAAACGGAAGTGGTATCATTTTTAAAGCTTCAAAGTACAAATCAACAATGAAAGCCAATTCTAGCTGGTCATGAAACAATGGATGGGAATGTGGTCCATCCTGCCAAGCCCAAGCTCAGCTTCCCAGCAGGCAACTCTGGCACGTCTCCCACAGGCACAGGCTCAGGTGACACCCCCACTGTGGGCATCCTACATGAGCACCTCACCTAACCCTTTCCCTCTCTCTGTCCCTCCAGTGTAAAAAGCACATCTCCAACAATCCAGAGTTTTAAAGTGAGGCAAACACGCCAAGAGCTTGTTTGTCAAGTTCCAAAAACACAAGCATGACCAGATTTATGATTCAAGGATTTATTAAGTCATACATGCAAAACATACTGCTAACTGCATTAGCAAAAGATCAATGTAAAAACACTCCACAATTCTGCAACTGTCAATTGAAAAAAGTTTGTTCTAGTGGTTGAAGGACCCAACACTGTGTTCTTGCCAGTGAGTTAGGTTGTACAGAACAGCGTTAGCACAGCAGTTGACAGAACCTCACAGACCCAAAGGAACATCTCAGGCAGAGCCACGATGGGAAGCGTATCCACGTGGGTGAGGTCTAGCGGGGCAGCATTAGTCACATGACAGTGTTGGTACTCTGGCAAGACAGTGATGTTTAGAAGGTTCATAGTTTAAGAATATCTAAAATAGTTTAAAAACTGTAAAGCTGCAACACATGATTTTTACACCTAGTTACTAGAAAACTAAGGAAAGCACTTATCAGCTTTGAAGAAAGTAAGGTGAAAACAGGAATGCACTTCTACTAATCTACCAAAAGAAATCTTCAAATGCATTATCAGAAAGATCTTATAGTACAGGTCAGACATATTGCTCATTAAGAAAGGGGTCCTAAAGAAAAGCACTTGCTAAGTTAGCAACTGAGGACGGCCAGTTTAAATATGGATCAATGTCCCATCTGGGGAGGGATGGCAGTGTGGGGGTAGGAAAAGTTGGAGAGACACTGGTAAGACCGGCCATTTGTCATCTACTGTATTTGACAGAAATTAACCGTTAAAAATCTTTACCCGTGATACTTTTATTTAGTTGAATTACTCCATGTACAATGTAGTGTAATCTCTACTTCATATTAGTCAAAATACTGTCTTTATCCTTTGATCATGTCGTGTTTCACAGACTCCACCCAGCACACCCACGACTAGGAACAGAATACTTCATTAGAGGCAGCACGGGAAGCAGAGTTCTGTTCAAAGTCTGCAAAAGCTAGTCAACTGGTTATTTTAAAAAACTCACTATGAAACCAAAGAGCTGAGCTGTCACACTCATTCACTGTGACATACAGTACAAAGTTATGTAATGAACGTGGGCTGATAAGTTACAGTGCATCACATGGCAACGTGTCGTTAAGGAGGCTGCGCTGGGTCACACAGTCTGGAAACTAGACAGGGGCTGCACCCGACGCCAGAAGCTGCGCTCTTCTTAACGACAGAAGTCTCTCAACAGTTAAGCGCTTAAGTGTTCTCAGCACAACACAACTTAGTTCAAAAAGTATTTTGGCAATTCTTAATCTGAGCAAGAATAGGGGACTTTCAAAAATAAGGCTTTAAGAAGGCTTGTCATTTTAGGGCTGAATTTTAATAGACCGTAAGTTGGAATTCTTACATTTAAGACAACCTTAAAATTATTGACTGGTTCATTGGTTCAAAATGGTTTTATGGAAAAATTAATCTGTAACAAAAACTTGGCATCAAATGCGAAGGCTCCACCGTTTTTGAGCAAAGCGTACAAAGGTTCCAGGGACAGGACCAAGAACGAGGGGCTCAGACATTTACAACAACAGGCATTTTCTCTTCCTCTTCTTGACAGGAGGTGGACAGAGCACTGCTCGGATGGCTTCATCAAACACTGTCTTGAGACCCCGCTGTGTGAGTGCTGAGCACTCCAGGTATTTGACAGCACCTAGAGAAGACAGCCATAGGGGCAATGAGACACTCCACAGAGCAGTGACACTATACAGGGCAGGATTAGAACACAGTACCTCTGCTGAGCCAGCATGGTGCAGCTCAGCAACCAACTCTCACACCAATGCTAAGGCCAGCGAGGGCCTGGTTTGGCTGGTTGCCCAAACCAGAGACACCAAGCAGTCCTCTTTCAGGCGGACTCCTGCCACTTATCAGGACAGCAGAGCAAACACAAGAAAAGAGGATTTCATACCGATCTCTTTCGCCATGGCGAGCCCCTGTGGATAGGTGATGGGAGTCAGCTTCTTCTCCTTCAGCTTCTCAATCGTGTCCTTATCATCCCTAAGATCAAGCTTCGTCCCCACTAGGATGATGGGAGTGTTGGGACAGTGGTGTCGCACTTCAGGGTACCACTAGATGTGCAGAAACAAGGCGTGCCACTCTCCTGTACAGACTTCCTTCGCCCAGCTTCCATGCAATGAGTGCCAAACCTCCAGCCCCAGCTGGCCCTACCCTCACCCTGGCTAGCAAGGGCCCCAAAACAGAGGACAACACAACAGACTCCACCTGCCAAGGACCAGAAGAAAGGAGGAGACAAGAAAGGAGGGCAGAACAGAAAGCACCCCCAAAGGAAATCACTTCTATCTGTAGAAAAAGAAGTCTGCCTTCTAGGATCATCCTAGAAAACTCACCATCAACTCAGGATGAACATATATAAGACATAAAAGGTATGTCCATCATCTCCAGCATGGAGATAATCTCTACACCAAAAGGGTCCTTCACCCCTTTTTACTAAGCTGGAGCAGAAAGAAATAGTCACTAGACTGACTCTGAAATGCTTGTTACTATAGTGAGCAGAGCCTGCTTCCCACAGAAATTAAGCCATGGGCTTAACAACAGCCCACTCCCCAGTACAGTCCTAAAGCCAAGTTAAACAAGCCAAAATTCCCAGTAGCGCTTAGCATTCATTTTCCTTTTAATATTTCTTTCTGGGAGTGACATTATGCAACAATCTTTCAGTAAGTTCCACTTACCTTTGCACGGACATTTTCAAATGACGCAGGACTCACAAGGGAAAAGCAGATTAAGAACACGTCCTACGGAAAGGAAACACAGGCAGTATGTAGAGGGCAGTCTTACCCTGCCGGAGCGCTCTGCCTAAGGCTGACAGCAATGAGCTGTGCGAGGCACTGTGTGCCTACTGCTACCTGCAACTGGGCAGGCCCTCACTAGTCCACTTACCCCTCTAGCTGACCAGATGACTCCCAAACCACTGGCAAGCCGGCCAAGCAGGCTTCTTCCACTTTCCCTTGTGAGAGAGGGTGAGTGGAAGAGGAAACCGCCAGAAGCCTTCTG